CCACCAGTTAATGAAGTAGGTTCAACTACACAGCCTACAAAAAAGCGGAAATCTAGTGCAAGTGGTTCTAGGCAATCATCTACTTGCTGGGAACACTTTGTTAGATTACCTGATGACCTTGTTGATGCATCCACTGCAACCTGAAAATACTCCCATAAAAAAATACTTGTGTGATCCTAGGACTCACGGCACCACCAACCTGAACTATCATATTTTAAAATGTCCTAAGAAGCCCCTTGTTATGTCAACTGACCCCACACAAACTATTCTAACATACCCAACTGTAGATGGTAACTTGGTTCAAGTTAGCTCTAGGTTTGACAAGAAAGCTTGTAGAAGTGTGTTGTTTGTTTTTGTAGTTCTAGATGAGCAGCCATTTAGTGCAGTAGAGGATGAAGGGTTTAAATTTTATTCCAAAGTAATGCAGCCCCAATTTACCATCCCATCTAGGCGTACGGTAGCTAGGGACTGTTTTCAGCTACACTTGGATGAAAAACAAAAGTTAAAGGCCTTTTTTAATTCTGACTACAATAGGGTAGCACTTACTACTGATTGTTGGACTTCTATAAAAAATCTCAATTACTTGACCCTTATGACACACTTTGTGGATATCGATTGGAAGTATCAAAAAAGAATTATAAGCTTCGCCGTAATTCCAAACCACGAGGGTGAAACTGTTAGTAGGAAGATTGAAGAAGTGTTGAGGGATTGGGGAATCAGAAATGTGTCAACTATAACTGTTGATAATGCCACTTCCAATGATGTTGTTGTGACATATCTAAAGAAAAAGGTTGCAAATATGAATGGGTTGATGGGGGATGGAGAGTATTTTCATATGAGGTGTTCTGCTCACATTTTGAACTTGGTGGTAAATGAGGGTTTGAAAGATAAACATTTATCTGTTACTAGTGTTAGGGTTGCTATTAGATTTGTTAAGTCCTCACCTCATAGGGCAGCCAAGTTTAAAGAATGCATTGAATTTGCTGAGATAACTTGCAAAAAATTAGTATATCTTGATGTTTCAACTCGTTGGAACGCGACATATTTAATGCTAGAGGCTGCAGAGAAGTTTCAACTCGCTTTTGAAAAGCTTGAGGATGAAGAGTCGAGTTATAGGGAGTTCTTTGGAAAAGGTAATACCCCTAGTAGTGATGATTGGGACACTGCTAGGGCTTTTGGTGCTTTTCTAAAGTTATTCTACAAAGCAACTAAGATTTTTTCCATCTCTCAAAATGTGAGTCTGCATACTTGTTTTCACCAAGTGTCTGCCATTTATTGTGAGTTGAAACAAGCTACAATGAACTTAAATGATGTTTTTGCAAGTGTGGGTGGGGATATGATGGAAAAGTATAATAGATATTGGGGGAATGCTGATAAGATGAACAAGATGATATATTTTGGTATTATTCTTGATCCAAGATACAAGTTGAGTTACATTGAGTGGACGTTTAAGGACATGTACGGAGTTGGATAGAAGTTTGGTAGTGACTTGGTAAAATCTATAAAAGCGGATTTACAAAAGTTGTATGATTGGTATAAGCAAGCTTATGACCAAAAACATAATTCCACACACCCTTTTGGTAGTGGTGGAAATAATGTCTCCAATGACGAAACAACTGTAGGTGTTGTCCGTTCATCCATTATCGCTAGAGTTGATGCTTTTGAGCAACATTTAGAGGAACAAGACTCGATTGATCAACAAAATAAGCTTGAGGGGTATAATTCTAGTAAGTGTGTTAAAAGGGATCCTAACTTTGACATTCTTGTGTGGTGGAAACGCAATTCAGCCGAATATCCTATTTTATCTACAATGGCTAAAGATATTTTAGCCACACCAGTTTCTACCGTTGCTTCCGAAAGTGCTTTTAGCACAGGAGGGAGGGTCATAGAAACCTATAGGATCTCTCTAACTGCTAAAAAGTTAAGGCCTTCTTTAACCTATTTCAAAGATATGAACCTCATGAAAGACTTTGAGCTTTCAGAAGATATTGTAACAAGTCAATTTATTAATTCATTTTGAATATATAAGATATTCTATTGTTATATAATTATGTTTTCTAAAAAAAAAAAATTTTCATTATTTTAGAGTTTCAACAAATGTCTTCAGCAGCAAGGGGAGAATCAGGTGGCTCATCATCACAACCTCAGCCACAACCTTCTGGTTGTGCTTGAAATGGATGTATGTATATCATATTTACTTTATTACTTTATTATTTTTTTTATAACTAATGTTTATGTTGTCCAATTTTTCAGGTCAACAGTGTTTTTTTATTTTTGGAGTCATATATGACCTATATATATATATATATATATATATATATATATATATATATATATATATATATATATATATATATATATATATATATATATATATATATATATATATATATATATATATATATATATATATATATATATATATATATATATATATATATATATATATATATATATATATATATATATATATATATATATATATATATATAACTACTGAATGGAAGAATATATATTTATATTTTGTCCCTTGAATTTTGAGATTTTGTGCAGCAGCAGTAGTTTGGTAAATGGGCTGCAGGTAAATTTAGTTTGATGAATTCTTCAATGTGTTGGCAATCTTTATATGATTTTTTTGCCTTGCTCATTACTACACCAATTTAGGAATAAAAATATGCCATCATAAATAAAATATCTTGGCAATCAAATAATATCATAGATTGGGTTTAATATAGTTGTTTTTCTGTTAACAATCTAATCTTACTGGTTTTGTTCAGCTTCTCCACCAGAAGTTCAGTGGAAACTTCATTGTAAACCTGTTGGGAAATGGAAGGAATCTGAATATGGTGGTGGTCATTCAATTCCTGTTGGTGGTATTGCATACTACATCACTGCGCCGTCGAGGTAAGGACATCTTACAGTTATAGTTATGATAATCCAATGTATATAAATAGCATTCATCTCTATGATGTGATATATCCTTTTTTTTGTAGTTTTGCTGATATAGCAGCCAATCCCTTCCATGCTGTGTTTTATCCTGGGCTTATGTTGTCAGCGTGTGGATTATTCTCTAAAATGTGGATAGACGTATTTGGTTCATCTTCTATGAGGACATGCTCCTAAAACTTAAACAGGATTTGAAATTGTAGGTAATATTCCGCAATCTTTATATTTTGGTCAATTTTATTCAATCGATAATTTTTGTTGATGTATCTATCCACAGTTGTAGATGATGTGATAAACATGACGACTTTGGAAGCTCTAAAGCAGACATATCTACCTACAAAAGAAAGCATTTCTAGGTACAAAGCAGGATATCATGTAGATGCTAGATGCTGTTACAACTAATAGAAAGATTTTGAAGAAACTAATTCAGTAGAAGCTGATTCAGGAAAATTTAAATGATAATATTGTAGTAATTTTAAGTCTTTGATCATGTGAAGAATGATTGAATCAGCATGTATAATGGCCATAGTGATCAGCTTATTGGTGATTTGTTTGTCAAACACCAGCTTATGTATTTAATCATTATGTATTAAATTAGTATGTATTTAATTAGGATTTGGATCCTCTCCTTTTTTATATATCCTACCATCTCTCATGTTAAATTAATATGTATTTAATTAGGATTTGGATCCTCTCCTTTTTTATATATCCTACCATCTCTCATGTTTCTAATCTAATGGTTCAGAATTTATAATGAATAATTAAATAATAAAAGTCATTTAAAAAAGTCAAATTACTTATTCATTTCTCTCTCCTATTAAATGATTTTTTTTATTTAATTATTCATTATAAATTCTGAACCGTTAAATTAGAAACATGAGAGATGGCAGGATATATAAAAAAGGAGAGGATCCAAATCCTCCGTCCGCATTAACTCGAACCCGTATAAACCGACTCTCGAATCGGATAAAAATGGGTGTTACTATTACCCGCGGTTTGGATTTGGTGGAGGTTGTGTACCCAAACCCGCCCAACCCGTCCCGTTGTCCAGCCCTAGGTGTCCATATAACAAAGCTGAAATGAGAATTGGAGAATGGGGAGAATGGGGCCTACTTAGTCAAAGTTTCATGCATTTATGAATGTATGTAATGATTGTTATCCCACCTGCTAGTAGTAGATCACAACTTGATTATATTTGACTAGTTTGAAGGTTTTTATTTTAAAACAACTATTTTGAGGGTTATATTAACTTTTTATTTGAACATATATCTATTTAATCAATTACTTCGCACTTGTATTAATATGAGCGACAAGAAATGAATGAATAACCCAATTAAAAGGCTTTGGGTATTGTGGCCGGGTATAATAAGGTAAGAAATTTTAAAAATAGAATTATTAATAAATAATATGACTTTTTAATTTTTTAAAAGTTGAATGTATCAATTTTAAGACAAATATTTCTCCGTGCTTTTAGGACACAAGTCAATATTAGAAGAAAAAAATTAAAAAGAAGTTATCTTTTACTAGTTTGTAAAAATCAATCTTCAAAGATACTCTATGTGTTACTTTTAACTATACTCAAAAAAACCATACGACTAAAATATGTCGAAATATTGAGTACTTACATCATTTTAATTCTACTGTTGGGGACACTGGAGTAAGAGAAGATCCAAAGTAAAAAAGTACACTAAAATATGCCAAGATAACCCAGCCTCTCAACGTTAGACTACATGTCAGCTAAAACACCAAACCTTAGAAACACAAGGGAAGAAATAGGAGTCTAACTTCCTCATTTCTGGGGTGCCAGTAAAATATTAGCAGCACTAACCAACTAAACTATCTTTTTAATCTATAACTTCATTAGAACAGACATATCAAAGTGCTTCTGGATATCTCAAAATAGCTTAACCTACAGCTTCATTAGAACAGACATATCAAAGTGCTTCAGGATATCACAAAATAGCTTAACCTTTAGCTTCATTAGAACAGACATATCAAAGTGCTTTAGGATATCACAAAATAGCTTAACCTATAACTTCATTAGAACAGACATATCAAATAGCTTCTGGATATCGTAGTTCTGCTGGGCCAGGGCCCAATATCCCTTTCTGCTCGCTAATCTTGCCCAGCCCAATAGAAGACTCTAGTACAAGTCCATTTATTTCATCCTCTCGCCAGATTGTTCCCTGTAAATAAAATAATTTGGATGCAAAATAATTTAATTTTTAATTTATAAAGCGATTGAAAATAATAATTCTGCAAAGCAAAAGCCACGAGGTAGAAGCACTTTGGAGAAATTATTCAATATAGGCTCACACAGTAATTACAGAATTGTCAGTCTTAAAGAAAAAGTAACTTAATTTTGATGTAATTTTGTCAAATTTATCAATTTGAATTCAGACTTCTTCCCCTTAATTCTCTTAAATAATTCATCAATATATTTGAAGATTTACTAGTTATTTTACAATTAAACAATAAACACTAGAGTTTTCACCCACCATGCGAATGACTAGAATGCGCAAAAAGTATGTTATATGACTTGTTAAGTGAAAGGATCAAAAAGAAACAGGCACCTGACACATTATAGGAAAATAAAATTAAATCTGATCAAAAAATATATTCAAAGGAGTGCCTCAAGGTAAAATAGCTCATAATAATCATTAATTACTTACCTCTTCGAAGTTATAGCCAACATCTTGCAATAATGGAGTTGCAATCGGAGGTGCAACTTCTGGGTCAGGCTTTTGAAATATAAATGTTGTATAGAGACCTGCATTGGAGTGGAGAACCCAATATATGAGTATTCTCGTGAAGCCTAAGAAACTTACAAGCAATAAGAGGATAAAAAGAAATTATTACTGCATTACCAAGCGCATCATATGATCGAGGAAGTAGTCTACCCCTAATATCCAAAAGGTTTGGAGCATAGTTCGTAAGCAAGCCTGCTAATTGTGCTCTTACAGCAACAATCAAAGAAAGTAAAATGAATGAGGTCTTGCAATTGGCAATCTCCAAAATGTTAACAGTGCAAATTATATAATTGAAGGATTTCGATAGAAGGATCAGTCTCCTCTCGAGAAAATGATACTAACCTGTTGTCATCATAAAACTCAGTCAAATTTTGGATCTCCACATACTCAAGACCAGCTTCTCTTGCCAGTCTGTGTTTTATGAAACAATTGACACATGAGATCTATTTTACAAGTCATGATTGAATATATGAACCTAAAAGATACAGGCAGACACACATTCCTTCCCAATGTTTAAGTTTTACCATCCATGTCTAACAAAGTCAATGTCAGCATGTTTGGAATTTATTAATGAGTGAAATCTAAGCAAAATCAAGCATTTTCATTTAAAATCAGACTCGTTAGGTAATTGTTACACCAGAGTGGAATTTATACAGTGCCTTGGCACAAACGTGCAGAACTCTCAGTTGTCAATCTTGAGTTTTAGAAAAATAAGAATACCTGATTAAACTTGGAAAATGAACCAGGCAATGGGTTTCAGCAGAGACATCATTGGCAAACTTCAGCTGATATTTCTTTCCAAATAATGGAAACCTGGAAATCATTATGCGAATTCAAATGAATGACAATAAAATGTAACTGAAAGCAAAGTATAAGCAACATGCAGTTAATACATTATGGAGATGTGTACTTTTCTTCTTCAACTTCAAAAGTAATTGTGTAATTCTCTGTCCGGATGCAGTTGGGAACAATGTTTGCCTTCACGCTGCTGCCTTTGTTGTGATAGGATTCAACATTCTTCTGATACTTGGCCCTAGATATAGACAGTGTTAATATCATCCGGTGTATAAGTATCTCATATAGCTTTATATGAATTATAGGAGAGTAAATACATTCAATCCCTGGAATTATATGACTGTATCAATCTAATCTTCAACAATATCAATAGTTCAAAATGACCTCTGGAATCTCGAAAATTGAAATGTTAATCAGGTTCACCAATATGTCTAGGTTTGATATCAAATTCATCCTTGAGATCATTCACTTAGTCTCAATGCATTCCCAGCATTACCTTTTTTTTTATAAACTGACGAGGACGGCATGACCAACTTAATATCAGTATAGTCACAGCAAATACCATCAGATGGACAAATTGGATTAAAGTTTTGTAATTTTAGGGATTATTTTGGATTATTGTTGCTAGGACCCCGTATGAGAAATGTAGGTCAAATGAGCTGCTGCACGGCTGCAACTCCCTAGCTCAGTACCCAACAGGTTTGTGCTAGAACTAGAAGGAATAAGATTAAGGGAGACAGAAAAGAATCTTTTGGGAAACCATTTGCTAGTTATGGACAGAAAACATTATTCTCTGTAGGAGCTTGGTTCTGTGGGCTTGATATTCAGCCTTTTGCAGCTATCTTTCACATACAGAAATAATACACTCCTTTATTTTAATTATTGATCTATTTTTCTTCTAATTGTTGCTACCGTAATCCAGGTTTGTATTAATTGTTAATGTAGGTGATTAGATTAATAATACAGACCTACAATTTAAGGGACCAAATTAGATATTTACTCAATTCATGGAAAAACAATAATGAAGACAAAGGTAATAGAGCTCAGCTGCAAAAGTGATGGATAAGATCCATATGCATAAAATAGATAGAAAAACCTACAAGCACTGGGGAAATTGTTTAAACACAAGATCATTCATTCTCTAACTCTGGACTTTATTTTACGTGGATTTCATCTGAAACCACTGGACAGAAATAAACCTCATTATTATATTAAAAGCACGACAGAAGTGAAATAAACTAAGCATCCCAACAAAAGAGAAAAGGAGTGCATCTTAGAGTCATTCACTAGTAGAAAACTCTAATTCTAAGCTGAGGATCAATCAAGAGATCCAGTTTGACACTACTTGAACTTGAACATTATAATGTTCAAGTAAAAGAAGACAGAAATTTAGGACGTAGCTAAAAGATCACCCATAAAATGACTAAAGAAATCTCACTGAGAAAATTAGGTTTTCTAATACAGCATCTACCCTAATCCCAGTGGAAAAACAATAATGAAGACAAAGGTAATAGAGCTCAGCTGGAAAAGTGATGGATAAGATCCATATGCATAAAATAGATAGAAAAACCTACAAGCACTGGGGAAATTGTTTAAACACAAGATCATTCATTCTCTAACTCTGGACTTTATTTTACGTGGATTTCATCTGAAACCACTGGACAGAAATAAACCTCATTATTATATTAAAAGCACGACAGAAGTGAAATAAACTAAGCATCCCAACGAAAGAGAAAAGGAGTGCATCTTAGAGTCATTCACTAGTAGAAAACTCTAATTCTAAGCTGAGGATCAATCAAGAGATCCAGTTTGACACTACTTGAACTTGAACATTATAATGTTCAAGTAAAAGAAGACAGAGAAATTTAGGACGTAGCTAAAAGATCACCCATAAAATGACTAAAGAAATCTCACTGAGAAAATTAGGTTTTCTAATACAGCATCTAACCTAATCCCAGTGGAAAGTTAAGCAAAACAAAGCAAACAAGAGGATTTTATCCAATTACATGTCAAAAGTTTAAGATATGAAACTGAATTTAAAAAAATTTAAACCAAGTGTACAAAATTTTTATTTGGACACCATATGTCATGAATTTTATTCCACCAATGGGGAACACACAAAAAAAATTGAGAGCATGCAACTAAACGGGGAATAATAGGCCTTTTACAATTAAGTCCCATACCATATGGTAGATGAGTCAGGAGTAATACCAAGAAAATATCCCCCTGGTTTCAGTAGAAATGAAACATTTTGAAGAAGTCTCCGCGCTTTCTCTTCAGTTTCAAAACACAACTGCATTAGAGATGTTAATCAGAAGATGACCATAAAGAAAATCAGGTTGAACAAATCAAGAGAGAAAACAATGCGTCGAAAGTGATAGTAGTGACTGCGGAAAAAACAAAAACTATAATATCTCAAAAGGACTTGAGACACTACCTATCAGCATATGCTCTATCCTCTTTCTTTAAGAAAGAACAAAACAAAGGGTTATAAAATAGAACTCAAAGGAAATTACTCCATTTTAATAGGCGAAAAGTAAAAGTTGATTCAAAATATGATTAGAAAGTAAATATAAGACCTGCAAATGCTGCAAACAGCAGACAAAATCAACTGTATTGCTCTTCTCTTCCAAATTCATTTCAAAATTTTCCTGTCAAGAACACAAAAGAATAATATCAACAATAGATTTAGGGCCTGTTTGGATTGGCTTATTTGAGCTTATCTATTGGCATAAGTTTTGTGACATTGTTTGGGAGAGATTATCAAAACAACTTATAAATTTTTCATGCATTTTTTTAGCTTATTTTTATACGTTCTCCAAGATAGTACATAGTTCATAAAAACAACATATAGCCTATGAAGCACGGACACACCAAACACGACTCCAACACCGACACAGCGATACCGATAATAGTTTGAAAAAATGAATAAATTAAACGTAATCACAAGTGTCAGTGCAGATGTCCGAGACAGGCATGGACACGGATACAGAGGTGTCGGTGCTACATAGCTTATAGCATATAAAAAACAACTATACTTTATTTTATCTTTTGTTATATAAATAACTAATGCAAGCTTATTCATAAGCACTTATTTTGATAAGCACTTAGACTATAAGCCGCAAATAAGCTGTTTATCCAAATAGACCCATTATCGTGTTCAATTAATTCAAGACGTACAGAGGCAAAAGCACCAGCACAAAGAATTAAAAACATTTGATCCATTTAACATCAAATTAAAAGATACTCAACAAACAAGTTCAATTTAACCCTAAGTTGGTTATTATTACTCAGAGTTGGCAAAATAGAATGAATAAGAAAATAATTAGATATTGGTGAGTGACTAACCGTGGAAGGATCAAGGTGAAAGAAATCAGCGGTGTAAGATTTCCGGTTACTCTCCCAAGCTTGTCGAATTTGGTCTATCCCAGACGAAGAAACATCTATTTCAATGCAATGCAACAATAACAATAACAATCCATTATCAACTAACGAATTGAAGATAGAGACAGAATTGAAGAATCATATACATACCGATACCAATGTAATGGCCGATTTGTGCGTCGAGCCATTTATCAGAATCAGCGCCACCTCCACAATACAAATCGCACACCTTGAATATTGAAATTGAACGGAAAATGAGAAAGTGAAAAGATGAAAATGGAATTGAAAAGGGGAAAGTGAAACGGACCGTGGCGTAGGGGTGAGCGAATATCTTGATGAGAGCCATTTTGGCGAAATCGTAGAGGCGTTGGTGGTTTGAATCGATCTTCGCCGCCGATTGAGTAGTCGTCATTTTCTGTTGGAAGTTTGATGCAAGTGGAGATGATTCTAGAAAGAGCAACCACTGCCTACCCAGCAACGGCTACTCTTCTACTTTACTGCCTCCTTCTGATAAACTCTCTTGGGCAGAAATAAAACAACCGGTCAACAATCAATCCTCTGCGTTGCCCTTATAACCAATTTATTTTACACTACATTTAAGACATTTCAATAAATAACAAAACACACTATTATTTTTATTTAAAATAAGTATTGTTTTGTAATCATTAATCACTTTTATGTTATTGACATATGTATAATCTGTTTAGGAATACAACATTTAGAGAAGGAATTTCATTTTATTGAAGTGAATAATGATTTGGTTCTCAAATATGTCTTTTGACAGTTAATTTGGTTCTGTGTATCTTTGGTCAGTCAGTTTACTGCATAGAAATACTATAATGATACACAGTTCAGTTCATACCTTCAAGAACAATGAAGATTCCATTGTTGTTTATTTTCACAGCCTATTTTTCATTTCTATTCAGATGTTGTTTGTCTTCACTACCACAGTTGCTGAACAATGAAGATTCAACTGTTGTTGTTTGTGTTATTTAAAGCAAGTTGTTAGTAGACAGCTAGATTTGTGTTTATCTTCATAGTTGTGATACTTAAACCATCAAACTTTCTGCCATTTTTTTGCATTTTTTGCTTTTAAAGCCAATCTACATGACTTACTGCTGAATTTTAGCAACTCAGTTAGATAAGGCCAGTGCATTTTTTTAACCTACATTGTTCTTTCATACTTTATACATATATAATATGGCACTTAAACCATTGGTAGATTGATATATGAATATGTTCTATCTTTTTTTTTGGTGCATCTATATTCAAACCAAGTTAGAACATGTAGATTGGATCAAATCCAATTTGGCAATTTGGTTAAGTATCTAACACTGATAGAACAGTAGTTTGAAGCATAATTCAACAAATTAAGTATAAAAGTTGTGTCATGTACTTAATATCATGGCATGCTCACCTTCAAAAACATATATGATTAAAATCAATTTTTTCGATTTTTCTAATACAACTATCCACAACCCGTAGCATAAATAGGAGTGTGTAAAAAAAAAAAGTTATGTTTAACTAAATTGATATTCAAATTATTCCGTTTTTAAAAGTCTTAATCAAATGTTAAAATATAAATGTGTGTACGCATTTTATTATCCAAATATAAATCAGTACCCATAATAATAATGTGGTTTAGTTATTGGATACCTAAATTTTATTACGTGTTAAATTTATATAATTTTATGTTTCATCATATACACATTATAAATCAATTTTATATTTTGAATTTTTTATAATTAAATAGTTAATTTAAATAGTTACCTATACACACCCCTAAGCACAATACTTTACGACAAATTATCACCATATCAGTTTGAGTTTGAAATTGTGCTTAAAATCAATTTAGTTTTACCTTGAAACTTATAGCACTACAGTTATTCCAAAAGTTTTGATATAAGTTAGTAAATATCTGGAAAAAAATAACTACACTCCATACAAAGATAATAGATATATTCCATATTCAATTGAAATTTTGTGTACACAATCTAGGTCTCATGTAGTTTCTACTCAACATAGAATTCAAGTTTCATCAGTAACGTAAACATGTTCAACCTATCTAATGAATAAAATTACAGTAGTCGCATATCTAAAATTACAGTAGTTTCTACTCAACTTAGAATTGAAAGTATGTCCTGTCAGTTTATCATGTTTTTTTGTTGTAACATATTTCTTAACAAAATGATAGAACTATCCAACATTTTTCTATGACCTATTCATGGAAGATACATACCAACGCTTAGTTCTTAAGTTAGTTCATGTTGCAGATAAATAAGTACAGTCAATACAAAGATTATAAAAAATTCAAACTACCAATTATTAAGACATTTTACTACTCACCTTAGAAATCAAAATTAAAACTAACACAAACATGTTCAACATTAACTCTTTAAAATATTGATTACTCACATAACTTGTGAACTTCATATAACGCACCTGGCTATTCCTTTTTAACCTGTTATGATATTCACAGCAGTACAAACTTATATAACAGTTCCATTATACTAGATGAAGTTGCCATCAACAACAACTTCATTGTTGATTATGAGTTTTTATTTAATAAGACTATTTTCTCATTTTACAGATCAAAGCATTAAGTTGATTTTGAAGATTAAGGTTTTATATGTAAATTGTTGGAACTTGATAACAAATTGTTGTAACACATACTATATTTTATAATATCTATTTCTTCTTATAATGATCATTGACGATGCTTCAATTATACATTGTCTTTTGTTTAAATAGTTTATAATACCTTAATTCAATTATTGTTAATTATTAATTTTTAGTCTAACTTCTTCTTTAATATTTAATTTTTATAAGTATATATTGTGAATCGGATATTTTTAAACAAAATATAAAAGATTTATTTATGATCAAGAAACACACAAGGATTAGGATTAATAAAGAAGACAAGATAAAACGACAAGAAACAACAAGTATTGATTATAAAACTATTATTCTTTCCTTTCTCTTAGAACAAGAATAACAAAATAGTCTCTCTCACTTGAATTAGGATTTTACCTTCCTATTTTTCCTTATTTCAAGATTGAGAAACTATCATCCTATTTATAATAAAAATAGCATACTAACCTAATGCGTTTTTTTTAACAATTATCCATTACAAGCTAACTTAGGATACAAGCTAACTTAAACAATTGGGCTTACAAGCAAATGCATAATTCAACATGCTAACAACCCTAGCAATATTGAATAATGCAGGTTAGAATAAACTTCGACTATAACACACATTACTCCGACAACAGCATGTGAACAGACTTCGATCTCATGCTTAATCTCTGTCGAACCAAAAGTTACCATTCGACCATAGAGTTCGATCCAACATCTCATAGTATATTTATATAAATACTAACTACATGATATAGCAAATTTACCCGTGTGGGAGCACAGGTATTTTACTAGTTAATCAACAACAAACTAATATGCGAAATCAACATTCTTTCGGAAGAGAGTGTGCTCTTCTCAAGGTCTCAAGTTTGAATCCTACTAGGTGCAATCAACCCTTGAATGGGACAGTTCATATGGAGTTTTACTCTGTCTTTAAATTGGAACTCCCGCCAGTAGACGGTGGAATTGGTCTCTATTAAATTAGTCGATCGCCAGATATCAAGATTTTCGAAAAGAAAAAAAAAACACATTCTTTTGAAAATAAAAATTATTTTTAAAAAAATTATTTAATTTTTCTTTCTTAAAATAATTATCTGGTTATATTATCAATTCAACAAATATTACTATAGTTTATATTTATCACTCTAGCTGAATTCATTTTTCTAAATTATATATTATTTTATACTATCAATTAATTCTTCATAATTTTTGATTCAATATTAATTACTTATTATTTTTAATATTTTTCAATTGAAAAGTTTATATTTCATATTATATATTATTGATTGTACTCGCAAAAAATACAAATATTTTACATTCCTTAATAAATAAAAGTTTTAAGATTGTTTAGTGTATCAAGAGTTAACTCAAGTGAAGTAAGAAAATATTATATATGTATATTAATAGAAGACCCGTGCGTTCGCACGGGAAAGTTAATTCTTTAATATAAGAGTATTTGTTAAATAGAAATAACAAAACCAAAATAATCATAATTTCACAGTATTAATTATGAAAATATTCAACTGCTTTAAGATATATTGACAGTGCTTAACAGAATTATAATATGTCCAATATAGAATAAAAAAAGTAATAATAAATCTTTGATTCTAATAATACAGTAAGCCTTGTTAGAAGTAATTGAAGAGATTACATAACCTACAAGCATGATAAATGAAATGAGAATTAGAGAAATGTTCTAATTAGAAAAGAGGAAACATTATTTTGACATTGAAAAAATGACTTACATTTGCATGGTGACATTTGTATTATTTCTTCAAAAATGATAGTGTGTGAAAGCTTAATAAAGAAATGTAGGTGTTAGGAAATATAGTAAACAAAAAAGAGAATGTTATTAATAAACTTAATAGTTTAAAGAAATAGTAAAAATGTACCTAGATCACGTTGTGAAAAACTTCTTTGAAGACAACATTTGTTGTTTGAGTTAAGGAGTTGTCTTTGTCATGTATTAATATTTTCAATCCAGCTTTACTCTTAACTCTTGAAATAGCAATATAAAGTTGTTCGTGACTGAAAACATTCTTGGGCAAATATAAACCAACATAATCCAATGATTGTCCTTGAGATTTGTTGATTGTCATAGCAAATGACACTATAATTGGGAATTGTCTTCTGATAAGTTTATATGGCCATAGAGATTGAGAAGGAGACAAAGACATTCGTGGTATGTAAATAATGTTTCCGATATTTGTACCTGAAATGATCTTTGCTTCTATTACATAGTTGGCTAACTTAGTAACTGTCAACCTTGTACCATTGCAAAGCCCTTCTGATTGATCCAAATTTTTTATCAATATGATGGTTGTACCAATTTTCAATTTCAATGAATGGTTAGGCAAATCAGAAGTTTTAAGACAACTCAAGAATTCTGGTGTCAAATATTCGAAAGCATAATTATCATTTGCTTTTGATCTATCAATGGGATCACAACTCAAATACTCTTTACAATCACCTTCATGAAAAAGAATGATTATTAAAGTATAAATATTTATATATTTGAAACAAAAAGAGTATACAACTCTTAAATATCATATTTAATAGTCCAACTTCACTAAAATACACACTTTTAAAGAAAATAGTATTCGTGTATCAGACATAACTAATAGAGATTAAAATATACCTGTAAGAAGATTAGTTATGTAGTCATTTATGTCGTCAACAATTTCAATAGTTGATGCTAGAATTGCTCGACATTGAAGGAAATCTGGATTTGTGTAATTTTGAAGTAGATTTGGATAGGTACTTGTAACAATTGCCTGAATTGGGTCCACAAAATCTCTAATGAGTAGCTCTTCAGGAATATCTATTTCAACATAGTCATCATTGGGTTCTGAGACTTTCTAATTGCCAACTTGTAAAATCCAATCTGAGAATAGCCTAATTTCTTCTAAATTGCTTAAATTATGACCACTTTGCAATCTCATATTTTTTGTTAGATTCAAAACTTTGCAATGATCCCAAATATATGATGCATTTATTGTTGCATGGACAATATCAGACCTAGTGCCTCTTGGTACAACAGGTAAAATTTGTCTGAAATCTCCACCAAAAATTACAACTTTGCCTCCAAAAATTTGTTGACATTCAACATTGTCATCACTCATTATATCATTCAATGACTTGTCAAGAGCTTCAAACAAAACTTATTAGTCATAGGTGTTTCATCCCATATAATGAGTTTTGTTACCTTCAAGAGATTAGAAAGATTTGATTTTTTCTCAATGTTACAGATGGAAGATTCCAGACATGGAATTGGAATTTTGAATTTTGAATGTGCAGTTCTCCCACCTGGTAACAACAAACTTGTTATTCCGTTAGATGTTGCATTTAACACAATATCTCCTTGACAACGCAAAGTAGTAGAAAATGTGTTCCACATGAAAGTCTTTCCAGTCCCACCATAACCATATAAGAAAAAAAACTCCACCATTTTGATTTGTGACAACTTGCATAACTTGTCTAAAAATTTCATGTTGTTCATCTACATTCAAAAAGAACACACCATCAAAGTTGTTACATTAGCAAAGTTTAAATTTTCAATTCCTGATAGGAGGTATACCACGACTATTTCATATAATAAATATCATGAATATATAATTACTAAAATCCACTCCATGAATATTATAGAATAAGTACCACATATGTGTTTAACTTGATGAGAATAAAGATGAACAACTATTATAAAAGGCTTAATAAAGCATAAAGTAATATTATTGAAATAATTCTAAAATCAATACCCATTAATTTTTGAAATAGATTGTGGTAAATCTCTTCTTGAGCCTTGATATCATATTGTTTTTCATCATATATCAATCTATTTTCAAGAAAGTCAAGAACATAATTATTTGGATATGACATTGGCTTATATTCTTTCAAACTTCTTCTATTTTTCTACAGCTGCTTCTCAATTTTCATTAAAGTGAGTTGTTGAATATCTTCATCTGACAAAGTTAAATCTACAAAAAAAAAATAAAGGTTAAGTAATGAAAAAATATTATTGAAATTTTATCACAAAAATTTTGAGAAGTGAATAAAAGTGTTGTCAACAAAAGTGTTGTAAGCAATAAAATGGAGGAGATAAAATATAACTTATTGTGACATAGATATAGAAAATATGTGTTAATATAACTTGGATTTTGTGAAAATATTCTTTGTTCATATAGAATCCCATCTGATAAGCATATCCAAGTGTAAAGCCAAACATGTTCTGGTCGATTCAATGAAGTTGATAATAACATTGTAACAAAAAGTTTGCGCAAAAATACTCCAGAACCCCAGTTATAAGCTTCTTTTATTGCCTCAATGAACTCTTTGTCATCTTCTAGGAAGCCCATTGCAAAACATGCTTCTCTAAAAGTATTGTGCTTGAACCCCTCAATTGTCTTTAATTCATCATAAGATCTTGGCCCTTTCTTCACAGTCAACAACATCCTCATATAATACAATTCTCCGGTTGTTGGTGGGACCCAAATGAGTCGGCCAATTGTGTAACCTCTTTTACGTGGTTTCCAACACCTTTTCCTCTTGTCATATACAAATTTTGACACAAATTATCCATATGTTAAAGACTTTGCTTCTTCATGTTGGCTATTTGCGAGAAACCAAGAAGTAAACATTGATTTTGTGACACTTGGTTTAAGTAGGAGAGTACCTATTTGCTCAAAATCTTTGTAGTACACAGAATTCTCTCCTTCCATGTGAAAAAATAATCTTTCAACAACTGGTTTTCTACCATGAATTGAATAAGAGAAGATTCTCCAGCAAGCTTCACTTGGTGGTACATATCTACAATCAAGGTACTGCTTGATTTCATCAGTATTTCCATCTTGAACAGTGTTATTTAGAACGATAACAGCTGAGATCCTATAAGAACCCTTGTTGATGTATTTGAAAAGATACTTAATTGACGTACTTTGATTGCACCACTCCATATTTATATGTGGCTCATATTTCATCAGCAGACTTGGATTATGGGGTACAACATGACCACTATGCAGTGTGACTCCATTTTTCTCAAATGTATTACCTTGATCTCTCCTTATATAAAGTGGATATCCATCTTGGTCAACAATTGTGACATATTGAAATTTCTTAGGATAGTACTTGGAACACTTACCATCCTTCATGCAAGGGCATTTAGGATTTTCTAACCTACAAGGTCCATGTACCATGTGGGTTTTCAATAGATTATACAATCTTGAATGTCTCAATAGATCGGGAACTTCAGCATAAATGATTTTGTCTATGTCTTTAGGAGCGGGATATTTATTTGATGGATGCAAAAAAATAAGAATGTGTGCATGTGGGAGACCCCTTTTTTGGAATTCAATTGTGTACATATCTGAAATAAGATCAAATGTTAAAAAAATAAATACATATGAGAATTGGGTAAATTCCCATACTAAAAATATAATTTCATAACCTACATGTTGCGGTGAAATTTGGATGTCAAGCTATTGATTAACTTGAATCTTAATTCATTTACAACCGGTCTTTGATTTATCCGAAGGAAATGTTAAAGAAAGGAAAAACCTAAAAGGGAGAGATCTAAGGTTCGGGGGTTGGTTAAATTTAGGGAAGGTATTAGCACCCTAAACTTCCGTAGTACTCTACGGGAACCTTTTGTTTATTTTTTTTATTTATTTCATTAATTATTTTGCTTTAGGGTATATACAAAGGATTGAAAATTAAAAGACCTAGGGGTTAATTCTAAGTTTACTCGGCAAGACATCGCATCTTGTGCCTACATATCCTTACGGGAATGGAATCAGAGTAACTGTAGTTCCCCTCAAAAGGGAGGTTAGAGACTTCTTGACTGTGGTCAAGGTCTCAAGGGGAATAAACGTATCTTAGGGACACGCTTACGCGGAGTGTAGAAACTCCAATATCTACGTTGTAAATTGTTAAGTGAATTAGGGTTAGGTTAGGGATTCCGCGGCGGGAAACCCTAAAATGAGTGCGGCGACTCTTTGACCTAAAGCTAGGGGTAGTTTTGTAATTTTGTCCACGGCGAGACATTTGTGAAAAGTTAGGGTTTGTAAGGGTTTGAAGTTTTGAGGACTATTGGCGTGGCGGCCAAACGGCTAGACCTAATCCTTCGGAGGAATGCAATGGGACAAATTAACGATGCAAATGCGCGAATTTAAACCATACAAACAGCAGAAATTAAAGTGCGGAAAGGTAAACGCGATAATTTGTTCGCGAAGTTACAAATGAGAAACAGATACAATTATAATACAACTTGAATTGAAAAACACATTAAAATAGCTAATAGCAACGTAACAAGCTGCACATTGAATACACAACGTTAGTAGACAGAGTCAGACAGTAATCAGACGAGTTATGAAACGGAAGTGCGAAAGTTATAGATATTCTTTGTTGTTTATTTGTGATATATAAAAAAGCTTTTGATTTAAGTTAAAAAAGAGGTTTTAATATTATTAAAAAACTTTTCAAAAATAGTCTTAATTTAATTATCTAACAAAAAGGTTTTATTTTAAAAAAAAAGGTTTAATGTTATTATTATATATTTTTTTTAAAAACGGTTCTAGTTATTATTTTAAAAAAAGATTTTAGTTATTATTTTAAATTTATCTAAAAAAAGTTTTTCTTAAAAATAATAGGTTTTCATATTAATTTGGAAAAGATGTTAATGTTATTTATTTTAAGAAACAGATTTTTATATTATAACAAGTTTTAATAAATTAATGATAACAATAATAATAATTGTAATAATAATAATAATAATGATAATAATAAATAATAATAATAATAATAATAATAATAATAATAATAATAATAATAATAATAATAATAATAAAGCAATAATGAATTTTAAATGTGCCAAATAACCCAACAATGTTGCTAACGCAGAAATGCGCTCATCGCAACCAGATCTAAATCGGACGAAACAAAATTTATCGCAAAGAAAAAGAAATTAAGCAAAAAACAGTATTATTGCTCACACAAAAATGCGATCATCGCAACCAGATCGAACTAAACACAAATGTCACGCGTCATGCACACAAATGTGCGAACATCGTATCGATATAATTCGATCAAAAATTAATCTTATATATATATATATATAAACTCTAACAATTTAAAAATTATAAATATATAAACGTAACAGTAATAGATAAAGAAAAAGAAATAACGGTAATAGATGAAGAAAAAAAATAACGGTAAAAGATGAAGAAAAAGAAACAACAGTAATAGATGAAGGAAAAGAAATAACGGTAAACGATGAAGAAAAAGAAACTACAGTAATAGATGAAAGAAAAGAAATAACGGTAAACGGCACTCACTCCTCTTAGGTTTTTTTCATTCCCCCATTTTTCAACAAAGCAACACATGTATATATAAGGAACAAATTAGGGTTAACATCAAATTGTCAATAATGTCCCTAAAGCCCATTTTAAAGCCCAAACTAAATAATTAGTTAACAAAAAAAAATAAAATTTAAATAATTTAAAATAATTAAAATAAACTTAAAATAAAAACTAATAATCCTATTGATTCCTAAAATCAAAAATATTATAAAAAGAACAAAATTTTTTCAATATTTTTTTATTTTATGATTTTTTGGATATTTTTATGAATAATTTAGAAAAAAGTAAAAAAAATAATATTTTAAAAAATGATTTAATTAAAATACAAAAATAATAATTAAATAATAATGAAAAACTATTTTTGTTATTTTTTAATGAAAGATAGAAAAATTTAGAGTAAAAATAATAAAAAACAAAAAAGTGACAAAGGTGAGATTCGAACTCTCAACCTCTCACACTCACAACTCCTTACACATGTCCTCTTGCCAATTGTGCCATTTTTACTTTTTAGAAAAAAAATGCATGCCATATGATATTTACCTGCAAAAAGTCAAACGACTACACAAATTTGTTAGTAATTGATTAAATGCAAGAAAAATGCAATGAAATGCGACGACAAATCTTAGGGCAAAATTTGGGGTATTACACTACATATTATCATATATATGAAACAACCATTTATATGTAAACAATGGATAAAGTAAAATGCTAGCAAAAAAGAAATCGTATACTTACATGCGAGAACCTTGCCTAAAACACCCTTCTTTGTCACGTCCGCTAGGAGGTTATCAAACTTCATTTTAAATATTCTAGCAATGATATCAGGTCTATCATGTGGCTTCAAATTTAGAGGACCAGGCAATCTTTGAATTTCTGGCCAATTTGGGTTGCATGTGAATGTAATGAAAAGATCTGGAAATCCCACCTTACTACAAATTGACATGCCATCATAGTACAACTGATCCATAAATCGTCTACTCCCCATATAAGATGATGGTAATACGACTCTTTTTCCTATGCTTGATCCATGTGTTTGTTCTTGCTCTACATTTAGACTTGTATACTTTGACACTCTTAGTTTGGACTGATTTTTCCTAATCCATTTCAATCTCTCTCCTTCAAGCATTGTGTAACCATCCACCAAAAACTGTTGGAACAATCTTCTGGACGATAACAAAGTCTTGGCCTCAATGCACCTACTTTGGATTCTAAATGCTAGCCATTCTCGAATAGTTAGTCGGTTCCTTTGACTGTCATCAAAAATGTCAAGATCTTTGTGTGCAATGGTGTCTCTATATCCATCCTCTCCATAAGGAAAAATCAAGGGATACTGGTAAGACAAGTAAGCTGGATGAAACTCATCAATGCGTTGAAGTTTCCCCCCTTTGGCTTTCACTATAATGTCTTTTTCCTCAGCAGTGTCAATGTCACCAACAATTAAAGCTGCCACTTCAGAAACAGTTGGTTGATTGTACAATCTTCCATCAGTAGACCTAGTTGAAATCAATTTGAGTTTTAAATTATGAACATTGCTTTGATTGAGCCACTATCTAGCCATTAAGAAACTTTTGGCATGTGTGTTATGTGTGTACAACATATCTGACAACTTTTGTATAGTCTCGGGCAGGATGTTGTTTTTATTTCTACAACAACGACAAAAAACAAATTAGTATGCATTATGCCGATAATAAGATAAAGGTAAATAAACATGATGTTTGGTTACCTGAGACCGTCCATTCTATTTGTAACTTCATTTTAAGTGTCATATATGTAAAGTTAGGTAAATTTAGGTGGATGTCCTGTTGGTGTAAGCCTTAGAGGCCAATACTTTTTGGTACTTGTATCGGATTATTCGTTTAATAATAAAAGGCATTTCTTTATTATGTTTGTCTTTCAGAATAATAAATTCCCTAGAATAGTTAGTTTGTTTAATGAAATGTTAAGTGTGACTTAATCATGAGATCCCATTAAACATAAAGACATTATTCTTAAAATATCCGTAGTCAAGCTTTATTGCAAAGTGGGATAACATTAAAAGCATTGAGACTATTATGAAGATAGACTGATGATCACATCTCATGGATCATGGATAAAGAGTTATCAAG